AAAGCACCTTATTTTGTTTCTAGTCTGTTTAGGTCCAGTAAAGAACAGACAAAACTGTACATTATTTTTATTATTGAGTCTGCAAAAAAATCATACATAAATAAATTACAATGATTTGGACATGTGTTTGTACACATATTTGTTTTTCCTAAAGTTAATTAAGTATTTTAGGAAAAACTGTCAGAGCGGCCACCAGCAAGAGTTGGTGGACGCACTCTAAGGCCACCAAAAAATGTCTTGTGAGAACTCCTGGTCTAGGGTGTCTGCTATTGTAAGCAAACACTTGTCAGTTTCCCTATCATTGTTTCACACTCACTCATAACAAACATTAAAAATTATGCTACTCTTAGCATTTTGCTGTGTTTGGAAGGACTAAGACCTGTTCACCCCTCTTGAGCAGAAATAGCCCTTTCCACCATTGAAAACTGTTATGCAGCGTTGCTGGCACAGAATGGCTATTACCTTCTACCTCAGAGGTGGTTCAATTTACGGTGTGTGAGTGATCCCCGTTTGTATGCGGTTCATAAAGCACTTAAGAGCCTTCTAGATAAAAGGTGTAGTATAAATGGAAGGGACAGTCATTAATGTATTAATGACATTTGGTGAGTTCAAATTTGCTGCATGCATTCCTCGTACATTTATTTTATTTTTTAAAATAACCTTTCACTCAGGAAAGCTCAGCTCTAGTGCAGCATCAGGATTTCCCTGATGCTTCTGTTCTTTACTCTATTTTCATTTGGGCTGATTGAGGCAAAGAAGAGGTCAAGTGACTTGCTCAAGGTTGCAGACCATCAATGAGTCATAATTAAATGTTTTCTTAAAGCTATGTTTGCCTTGTAATCATATGTTTATTCTACAGAGCTTTATGTTGTTGGTAGAATTTTTTTCTATCCTAGCAATTTCAAGGAACTTAAACTATGCTGCCGCTCTTGTTTTTTGGTGAAATTGATCAGTAAGATTCATGATAAAAGGAGGTTTTTTGGCAGGCCTCTATAAAACATTGCAACACTAAACTTCACAAATGTGATGAGTCCTTTTAAGGCCATCATACTGTTGTATCTTAAAAACCATAGTATTGCTAGTAGCTTAGTGCAAGAGATATTAGCTGTATTGCCAACTCCACACATTCAAAAATCATGAGGTTTCCCCTGCCCCAAATCATGAGATTGGAGTTTTTTAAATCTTTGATTTTTAGGGCAAATTTATATTTATTATCTGGTTTTTGAGCCTTTAAGGTTAATGTTTTCCAGCTTTCTCCCCACTACCCCCAACGAGACTTAGAGACTTAAAAAAAAGAAAGAAAGAAAGAGTAATTGGATTGCATGACTCTCTAGGTGCTTGGGCTTAAGAAAACCACCAAATAGCGTAAGACACAATAAAACTGAAAGAGTTGGGAATACTGTATTACGGTGAATACTTACCCTAGCCTATGTGCTTCCCTGACTGGTACAGTCTCCCAAAAAGTACAATATACAATGTAATGCATCCCTGAAACGGGAGAATGTAGTGGGCACATGAAAAATGACATTGCAAAAGCAAAGAAGGACTTGAAAAATGCTAAGCTTAGTGGAGAGATTGGAAGCACTAAAAAACCTGATAATAAGGACACTCAGGTGATAACCCTGAATTATACCAACAAAACTGCCTTACTCAGAATTGGTGCATACTCCTCTTAGGTGCATATTGCTAGCATAGCCCAAGCACTATGCAGATATTTATTTATTCTAAGTTTTTTAAAAAAAATAAATACAATTCTAGTGCTCAGAAGCATAGTATCCTGTACCATCTCCTTACTTCCCCACACCAAATATTCTGATTTCTGCCCTAATGGTATGTATTGTGTTGATGTCTCCTTGCTAGAGCCCTCTGGGTAAATAATTCAGTGGCTTCTGTTGGACCTCAATGTTACATGATAAAGTCCTACTGCTACACCTCTTGCTGTTTTCAACAGAGATTCTTTTAGTAACACATCCTAATTCTTATGGCAGTTCAGGACCATTCCCCTTTACCTCACTCCTTTTCCTTTTGGACACCAGTTCAAAGAGAATCCGGTTAGAATTCGACCTCTAGAACTAGACTTGTAGTAGCGACACTGCAGTTTTCTGAGTGGAGACTCTCCACTTTAATATGTCGTGTATTTTTTCAGTGTTTACATTTTAAGACATTACATTGAGCAAATGTGAAATCATACACTTTGGAGCCAAATTCTGCTCTCTGTTACATACGTGCAATCCCACTGAAAACATGAGTATAACAATTGTCCAAGTGTAACAGAGTAGAATTTGTCCTACTGTGGTGTCTTCACAAGGGAAACACTGCAGATGATTCTAGGGTTAATTATGCTCTTCTTATGTGTTGAAACAATTTAAAGCTAAGTAATCTAGGTTAACCCGTAAGCACATGTTCTCCCGTCTGATTGTATTAAAATCTCAAACAGTGGCAATCAGCAATGGTTAAAAAAACAACCCAAACCAAACCAGAAACAATAAATAAATGAAATGGGACTATTATTATGTCGGCAGAAATGGGATTGTAATCATTTCCAGCAAGGGCAATTTGTATACTCAGCAGAAATATTAACAAAAAGCAAACAACATCTGTCTCTTCCAAACCCATTCACTTTCTAGGTACATGCCTAGTTTATATCTCAGGACTTTCTTGTTAGAAATGTTTTAAGACTAGGAACACATAAAACTGTATTAAGCTATTAGTGGTATTATGGGTTCTTTATAGAACACTGTCAATCTAAACAAGACTTACAAACATAGAGTAAACTGTTTGATTTGAAAAAACATCCATGAACACAGTTTTTTTTTTAAAAGAGACAGAATTACACTTAAGTAATTACAATATTATAGTGACACCTTTTCTCTCCCCATATGCGATTTCAATAATAATTGAAGGAACCATAATAGATCCAATTAGAAAATGTGTTCTAAAAGGGGCCTAAATTCTGCCCTCAGTTACATTCAAACAACCCCATTGATTTCAGTGTATGTGCAGGGGTGTAAGTGAGGGTAGAAAATTAATCAACTTTATTCCCCATTTTTTTCAGCACTGCACAACACAACAAGAAGCAAAGCTAACCAGCTCTGCCTAGACAAGCCAAGTGCAAAGTGAAGGTAATAGCTGATATGCTAATGTCCTGGCTGTGGCCAAATTTTTGCCAAGGTAACGAGGAAACATCATTTTGGAAAGGAGTAGGATTTAGGGGGAAAGAGGGGAGAATATAAAATTGTGCTTTTTTATTAACTCTCTCCCATGTACAGGCAAACAAGTTTTTTTGGTTTTGGAGGTTCCTAGTAAGTATAAAAAAATAAGGTTTTTGATATTAAAATAGCCTCCGATCTTGCAGTCCTTCCCCAGGCAAAGCTCCTGTTGAAGTCAACACAAATTCTGTCTGATTAAGGACTGAAGGATCAAACTATAAAGTAGTTTAACCCCTCCATAGAGTATTCATTCAAAGCAGATGGGAGGAAGCCAAGTCAAATGCAATGATGATCAAGCATCTATTGGCTAGTGTGGCAACTAGCATCTAGCTAGAACTACATTTTCTTTTAACTTTTATAGCTAAGAGATTTTTGTATATATCTAGTATCATCTGTGGTTGTCAAAATGATTTCCAGACATTTCCTTTCTTACACCAGAGGTTGTAGGACAACACCCCCCCCCCCATATTGTAAATTACAGGCAAGCTATGGTAAAAGGATTGAAGGCAATCTCAGGCTGAAGAAGAGACTGCTGTATAATCTTAGAGAATTCCCTCATTTTACTTTTTATGTATCTGAGCACTCTATACAAACATCATTCTGTTACCTCTCTATCTCCCAGGGGTTATGAGGGATTAGTTATATTTTTAAACAGCTGTAAAAACATTAAAGTGCTTGTGTGCACATGTGTTGAATAGTAGTAGTAGTAGTAGTAAGAATGCAGATGAACCCTAAAAAGAGATGAGATTTTGATATGTGTTCTCTATATTTGCCAAGGAAGGACTGGCAGAATGCTACACCACTCCCAAATAGAACAGCAAAAATACTTCTCTCAAACATATGAAAATAATATTTCATACACACAAAAGGAATCGCTGAGGGTACAATATATAGGGCCTTATTTTGCAGAGTGGACTATGTGATTCCTGGTTAATAATAAGAAATGGTGAGGAGGGGGAGGAGAAGGAACAAGACTATAAAGTAGACCCATAGTTCCCCCTAAGAAATACCAAAGGCCCTTTGTTTTTGGTTTTATTTTGTTTAATATTTCCTGGAAATTCCAGTGTTTATTAGAAAAATTTTAAAATGGGTGAAAATCATTACAAAAAATTAACTGTACTGTTTTCTGGGTAAATAGAGGGGTTAATATGGGAGATGGGAGGGTAGAAAAAAGCACCAAATAAAGAAAAGTAAGAGTATTTAATGTAAAAGTAGTTTAAGGCTGTGGTGTAGTGCATGAAAAGTACATTAGCAGCACCTACACATATGCCCACACATGCCTGTGCGTGTATCTTCTACAACACTGCCTTACTAATTTATTAACAGAAACACCCTTCCTAATATAACGTATTGGATTTTCTTAACAGAACCAGTATTTTCACTTATTGGAGGGGTCCAAAATTCGGGTAAAATGGGTAAAACCCGAATAACAGCAGTTGTAAAACCCGAGAATTTTTCAGCAAAAAATGGGTAAAAATTGCAAAGGAAGGAGGGCCTTAGAGCTCCCTGACCCAATACTGCTGCTCTGCTGTAGTGCTCCTGGTGTGAGGGGCATGAAAGACGGGGGGGGGGGGGGGGGGGGCAGAAATCTTGTCATTGCGCCCTTGCTTTGCAAGCGGCGCTGGAAAGTCAGGCTAAAGCCCCAGCAGGGGCATGATCAGACACCCCCCACCCCAAAGTTATTTATGGGCTGGGGGGCAGGGTGCGAGCCGGATCCCTGGGGCCAGCCCCCCCCGGACACAGAGCAGAGGGGAACACAAGCCCCTGACAGCGCGCCCAGCCCCCGCTGACCTGCCAGGCTGTTGTAACAATCGATCTCGATGCTCTCCGCGCTCTGGCTCTGCTCCGCGGTGAGCTGGACCCCCGGGCCGGCGGCGCAGCTGGCGGAGGAGCTGGGCTCCGGCGGGGCCGGCGGCGGCAGCCCCTTCAGCTCCAGCAGCGCCCGGTGGTACTTGCCGATGGCCTCGCGGAATTTCTTGTCCTTGTAGCACTGCGCCCCTTGGCTCTTGAACTCCAGGGCTCGCTGGAGGAGCTCGCCGGGCTCCGCACCAGCCTGGGCTCCCGCGGCGCAGCGCCCTGCAGCGGGGCTCTGCCGCTCCATCCCCGCCGCCCCCGCACTCCGCCGCCGCCGGGCGGAAAATGGGCTTCAAGCCTCCGAGCAGCCGAACGCCCCAGCGCCGCGCTGCGCCGCGCCGCCTCCCGCTCCCATCCTCCCGCTGCCGGGCGCCGCTCCCCCGCCCGCGCCCTGCGGGCCGCCTGGTGCTGCCGCCTCCCCCGCGCACGGGGAGAGCGAGCGCCGGCTAACCCGGAAGGAGCCCGCACCCCGCAGCCGAGAAGGATGGGGACGGGGGGGGTCTGGAGCAGCCGGGGGGAGGCTACAGCCTGGCGCCCCCATTAAAAAAAATTAGACAAAAAGCCACCTTGTTGCTTTCTGCAGCCAGGCTCTTAAAGGCGCAAGCTCCAATTTCCTGGCCCTCCCGCGGGGGGAGAGAGCTAATTTTACTGGAGGGTCTCACACTCGGTAGCTCCTCCAGGTCAAGTGCTCGACACCCACTAGGGCCTCCCGGTATTCCGCCGTTTCTCTCCCCTCCAAAGCTGCCTGTGTGCCCCCTTCCCTCCTCCCATTTCAGGGACTTATGCCAAGGGCTCTGTGTTCCCCCCATTCCTATTTTCCCCTCCCCATTTCCACTTTCTCCTCTCCGTCCCCAAAGACCCCGTTTTCCCCTCCCCACCTCCACTCCCGCCACTGAATCCCTGCTTTCCCTCCCCCATTCCCTTGGGATTCCCTGCTTTGCCCTGCACACACCCACTCCCCCCACTCCAAGTCTCTACTTTGCCCCATCACCAAGTCCACTGGCTCCCATTATGCTTAGACCATTTCAGGACATTTTGGAATTGATTGGATGTGGCATGTCAAAATTATTGCATTAGATAAATAGAGAAATGCCACTGAGCTGAGTCAAGTGTCAGAGGGGTAGCCGTGTTAGTCTGGATCTGTAAAAAGCAACAGAGAGTCCTGTGGCACCTTTAAGACTGTTAGGACTCTCTGTTGCTTTTTACTGAGCTGAGTGTTAGACCTCCTTTTGCTCAGTCAGATATGATGTTTGCATGATGTATCACCTAGAAATGAGACAGTGTGTGTGTGTAATTCAGTATTGCTAACCCTAGGCATTCAAAAATCACAGTACTCCCCTTGAAACATCTTCAAGGGGCCTGACTTGCAGAGGCAGGTGTTCAGCACTTTCTGTTGTCTCAAATTAGGCACCCCATAATTAAAAATACTCTCTGATTTAGAAACTGGAGATGGACAGTGTGTGTCTGAATCATAGAAGTCAGAGGTGAAATGTGTGTGTGAAAAACCCAAATTAAGGATGGAAAATTCCTATTGAGTCACATTTAGCCATCCAGTGGCAATACTGTCCAATGTCAATTCAAATTACTCGCGTAATCTCCTTTTAGATAGATTTAATTGTAGTTTGATTTAAACCAAACCAGTGTATGCCACTGAATTTAGAATATTTACTTTGCTGGGGAAAGGAGAAGATAGTCCTAGCATGTCAGCCACACTTTCTTTGCAATAGGTGTTGAACACATTGGACACGGTCCACACCAGCAAGACAGCCATTTCCAGCAATGCTCGAGGGAAGAAAGGCTGTGTAGGACACACTTTGTCAAACACAGCAGGATTTACTAGTATAGGAAAAGCTAGATGGAAAAGAACAGAAGAGCTGCCATACTGGGTCAGACCAAAGGTCCATCTAGCCCAGTATCTTGTCTTTCGACAGTGGCCAGTGCCAGGTGCCCCCGAGGGAGTGAACAGAACAGGCAATTATCAAGAGATCAATCCCCTGTCGTCACCCATTCCCAGCTTCTGGCAAACAGAGGCTAGGGACACCATCCCTGCTCATCCTGGCTAATAGCCATTGATGGACCTATCTTCCATGAATCTAACTAGCTCCCTTTTGAACCCCGTTATAGTATTGGCCTTCACAACACCCTCTGGCAAGGAGTTCCAGAGGTTGACAGTGCGTTGCGTGAAAAAATACTTTCTTGTGTTTGTTTTAAACCTGCTGCATATTAATTTCATTTGGTGACCCCTAGTTCTTGTGTTATGAGAAGGAGTAAATAACACTTCCTTACTTACTTTCTCTACACCAGTCATGATTTTATAGACCTCAATCATATCACCCCTTAGTCGTCTCTTTTCCAAGCTGAAAAGTCCCAGTCTTATTAATCGCTCCTTATATGGAAGCCATTCCATACCACTAATCATTTTTGTTGCCCTTTTCTGAACATTTTCCAATTCCAATATATCTTTTTTGAGATGATGCGACCACATCTGCACGCAGTATTTAAGATATGGATTTATATAGGGGCAATATGATATTTTCTGTCTTATTATCTATCCCTTTCTTAATGATTCCCAACATTCTGTTTGCTTTTTTGACTGCCGCTGCACATTGAGTGGATGTTTTCAGAGAACTATCCACAGTGACTCCAAGATCTCTTTCTTGAGTGGTAACAGCTAATTTAGACCCCGTCATTTTATATGTATAGTTGGGATTATGTTTTCCAATGTGCATTACTTTGCATTTATCAACATTGAATTTCATCTGTCATTTTGTTGCCCCATCACCCAGTTTTGAGAGATCCTTTTGCAGCTCTTCACAGTCTGCTTGGGACTTAACTATCTTGAGTAGTTTTGTATCATCTGCAAATTTTGCCACCTCACTGTTTACCCCTTTTCCCAGATCATTTATGAATATGTTGAATAGGACTGTTCCCAGTACAGACCCCTGGGGGACACCACTATTTACCTCTCTCCGTTCTGAAAACTGACCATTTATTCCTTTCCTTTGTTTCCTATCTTTTAAACAGTTACCAATCCATGAGAGTACCTTCCCTCTTATTCAATAACAGCTTACTTTGCTTAAGAGCCTTTGGTGAGGGACCTTGTCAAAGGCTTTCTGAAAATCTAAGTACACTATATCCACCGGATCCCCCTTGTCCAAATGCTTGTTGACCCCCTCAAAGAATTCTAGTAGATTGATGAGGCATGATTTCCCTTTACAAAAAATGGGTTGACTCTTCCTCAACAAATTATGCTCATCTATGTGTCTGACAATTTTGTTCTTTACTATAGTTTCAACCAGTTTGCCAGGAAAGGAGGATAAAGTGGAAGGGAAGACCCTAGAAACATTTAAAATATATCAATTCAAGACACTAGCATGTCAGCATTCGTAACATTACCAATGTTTGTATCCCAGTAGGGTAGATCAATTATGCTCAACAGTTATTCTGTATAACAACCAAAATAACAACCATACGTCCTCTAAGTCCCCCAGTTTGTTGGGTCTTTTATAAGCCACTCTCCCCAGAGGCACGAGCTTGGATAGACTACAGCTCTGTCCATGGAGCTATTAATGCTTTCCAGAATTGTGATACCATGTTTCTTAACATTAAAGTAGCCTGTAGGCATCAGCTCTTTGCTGATCCTGTGAACCTGAATGATTTAGGTATTTCTCCTGATAAAAGAGAAATAGTTGTAAATGGAATAGTCACTTGAAAAGTAATGCTAGCATGTGTATCCTCCCAGAACCCATTAGTAACCAGATGCATCCCCAGAACACATACCAAAGAACACAGGGTCTGACATCTTTAACAAGAGGCAGAGACATTGTCTTTCTGTGTGGTTGCGCAGCATCTAGCACAATGGTGTCCCAATTTCTATTGGGGCCATTGGGTGTTAATGTAAATACTAAATAAGAAGATGAGTCAGTGGCAAAGTTCTAATGAGTAGAACTGGTAGAAATTTCTGGCAAGAAAAATGTTATTGTCAAAAATTACCTTTGATTGAAAACAAAACTTTTCATGAAAAACTGTCAACATTTATTTTGACATTTTTCCAATTTTTGCAAAAAAATGCAACATTTAAATTGATATTTTAAATTTAAATAATCATTTATTGAAAACCAGTACAATTTCAATAGTGATTGTGAAAACCATTTCAATAAAAACTTTAGTAGAAAATATCATGGAAAATTTCATGAAAAATGGAAAATTTGAAGCCCATAAAAAGGAAACCACTTCCAAGTGTCCATTTTTTTAATTGATTTGGTTTCCAGATTTTTGACCAGCTGTACTAATGAGGATCTTTTAAGGCAGATTAAGCACCACTGACCAGAGGATATTTTAACTTTGAAACCTGTGCCTTATGAATGGCCTTCAATAATTCTAACTTGGCCTCATGGAGGACTGAAGAAAGGTATAGGTGTCTGAGGTTTGTCTCATAAAGGACCCCATTTCCTTTAGAAATGTTACTAGAGAGGTGGCTGCTGTCAAGGCTGGTCCAAAAGAAGCTAGTGGCATGGCCAAAGATAGTGCCAAAACCGGGGCTTCTGCAAATTATTGATATACTAAGATCTGTAAAAGATCTGAAGGATGTCTCTTCCAGCCATGACCCCTACAAGAAAATATGAGTTATCTCAGAGTATTGCCTCAGCATGCAATAGAGATTTACATTTTTGAGTTCTACCAGATTGGTCCATATTCTCCTAATATCATAAATTGCTGATCAGTACAATATGGAGCCCACTATATCTGGCAAGAGAAGCGTCTGAATGATTTTCCATTCTATGGGCACCTTAGGCTGGATATGGTGCAATACCATATGCCTCAATGTGAAAGCTTCCTAATATGCCTCTGGGCTAGAGACACTAAATCTGCTATTAGATATGTGTAGGACAATTTAGCAAAGGACAATATTCCTTTGCTAAATTGTCCTACACACAGCTAAATATGCTGTTGATTTTTAGTAAAATATTTAGGGAAGATAAAATGTGAAATATATAAGGCCCTTCATTTTCAGTTTTTATGGATTTTTACTGAAAAATTCCTGAGTTTTACAAAACCTATATTTTGGTTTTTACTGATTTGCAAGTGAATTTTGGACAAGTCAAATCCATGAAAATACTGATTATGTTAAGAAAATCCAATACATTATATTAATTAGTTTAAACGTTAATAAGACGGAGTCTGTTAAAGTAAGGCAATGTATGGAATATACACACACATGCATCCACCTGCATATGTGTACTTACCGTTAAGGTACAGTTCATTAGATAAACCACAGCAGTAAACTGTTTTTACTTTCAATATTCTTACATTTCTCTATTTGTTGCTTTTTTCTGTCCTCCCATCCCCCAGTATTAACCTTGATATTT